CCCACACCCGCTGCTTTGCCTCGGCCACGGCTGAGGCTGCTGCCCTTCGGGCCTGTCGGTACATTGCAACTGCCTCGGGAGTCTCCCGGGATAACAAATCCCTGAAGGCCTCCTTCTTCAGTCGGACGGCTTCCCTGACCACCGGTGTCCACCAGGAGGTTCGAGGGTTACCCTTGAGGCACCTAAGACCTTGAGACCACAGCTCCCCGCCGCGGCTTCGGCAATAGAGGTTTTGAACACCGACCACTCTGGTTCAATGTCCCCAACCTCCACAGGAATGCCCGAAAAGCTCCGCCGGAGGTGTGAGTTGAAGGCCTCCTGAACTTGGGCCTCCTCCAGACGTTCCCAGTTCACCCAAACTACACGTTTGGGTTTACGAGGTCTATCCAGAGGCTTCCCCCGCCACTCGACCCAACTCACCACCAGATGGTGATCAGTTGACAACTCCGCTCCTCTCTTTACCCGAGTGTCCAAAACATACGGCCTCAGGTCCGATGATACGATAACAAAATCGATCATGGACCTTCTGCCTAGGGTGCTCTGGTACCACGTACACTTATGAGCATCCTTATGTTCGAACATGGTGTTTGTTATGGCCAATCCATGACTAGCACAGAAGTCCAGTAACAAACCATCACTCCGGTTCAGATCAGGGGGGCCGTTCCTTCCAATCACGCCCCTCCAAGTGTCTCCATCATTGCCCACATGTGCGTTGAAGTCTCCCAGCAAGATTAAAGAGTCCCCTTAAGGAGCCCCATACATGACTCTTTCCAGGGTCTCCAAGAAGGCCGTATACTCCGAACTGCTGTTTGGTGCATAAGCACACACAACAGTCAGAGTTTTCCCCCCCATAACCCGCAGGCGTAGGGAGGCGACCCTCTCGTCCACTGGGGTAAACTCCAACAACGAAGCACCCAACCGGGGACTTGTGAGTATCCCCACACCCGCCCGGTGCCTCACACAACTAAAGTTGCGTCAAATATAATTTACATTTTATCTAATCACCGAAATAATCTGCGGTCGCGAGCTGTTATGTGCCATCATGACGCGCATGGTGTTATTTTTTAATATATGAAGCGCGAGCTGCGTGCTCGAGTCTTCCTGCCTGTCGGCTGAACTCTGCTGCTCCGGGATGAGGGTCAGCTACATTAGCTACGGTGCGCTCGTTAACTGCGGAGTCACTGTGGCACAGACTGAGCCGCTGGTGAACAGCTGTTAGAACGGGCCGTTCAGGTGTTCAGAGCAGAGCGGCAGAGCGTGATGTGAACTGAAACGTTTTTCTGTCGCAATATCATTTAAGGAATCGTTGAGCTAGCTAGCTAGCTAGCATACATGGTCACTATCTGCTAACGTTAGCTTTAGCCTTCATTTTCTAATAGTTTTTTTCATAGGCTATAAACGGAGGTGGTATAAGTATAGATATTGTGCTAGAGTAAAAGTAGAAGTACTCAGATATTGTTCTTAAAAGTAGAAGTACTCCGATCTTGTACTTGAGTAAAAGTAGAAGTACTCAGGTCTTGTACTTGAGTAAAAGTAGAAGTACTCAGGTCTTGTACTTGAGTAAAAGTAGAAGTACTCAGATCTTGTACTTGAGTTAAAGTAGAAGTACTCAGATAAGTAAAAGTAGAAGTACTCAGATCTTGTACTCGAGTAGAAGTACTCAGATCTTGTACTTTAGTAGAAGTACTCAGATTTTGTACTTTAGTAGAAGTACTCAGATCTTGTACTTTAGTAGAAGTGGAAGTAATCAGATCTTGTACTTAATAAAAGTATAGTACTCAGATCTTGTACTTGTGTAAAAGTAGAAGTACTCAGATGTTGTACTTGAGTAAAAGTAGAAGTACTCAGATATTGTACTTGAGTAAAAGTAGAAGTACTCAGGTCTTGTACTTGAGTAAACGTAGAAGTACTCAGGTCTTGTACTTGAGTAAAAGTAGTAGAAGTACTCAGATCTTGTACTTGAGTAAAAGTAGAAGTACTCTGATCTTGTAGTAGAAGTAGAAGTACTCAGATCTTGTACTTGAGTAAAAGTAGAAATACCAGAGTGTTGGAATACTCTGTTACAGTAAAAGTCCTACATTCAAAATGTTACTCAAGTAAAAGTACAACAGTATTATCATCAAAATCTAGTGAAAGTAGCGACAGTAAAAGTGGTCGTTGTGCAGATTCGTCCATTTCAGAATAATATATATGATATGTTTTCTAATGATTGAACATGAAAGTGTTCTCAAAGCTGGTAAAGGTGCAGCTAGTTTGAATGACTTTGTATACTGCAGGGTAGCTGGTGGATTTACTCCAGGTGGAACTAAAGTCTGATTTAACACTTGATTAGATTTCACATCATTCATCCACATCTGTAGAGTAACTAAAGGTATTAAATACATGTAGTGGAGGAAAAGTACACCATGTACCTGTGAACTGTAGTGGAGTGGAAGTACACCATGTACCTCTGAACTGTAGTGGAGTAGAAGTACACCATGTACCTCTGAACTGTAGTGGAGTAGAAGTACACCATGTACCTCTGAACTGTAGAGGAGTAGAAGTACACCATGTACCTCTGAACTGTAGAGGAGTAGAAGTACAAAGTAGCAAAACATTGAAATACTTAAATAAAGTACAAGTATCTCAAAATTGTACCCATGTATAGTACTTGTTGAGTTTATGAACTTAGTTACTTTACACCACTGGCTATACAGATAGAAAGACTAAGCCTTGCACAGAGGCATGACAATACATTTTCAAAATGCTCAACAGTGCTGCCAAAATTATAAACTGACTGCTACACAATTAAAATAAATGCTTTTATATATTTCTATTAGATGTGACTCTTTGGCGTTTCTGTTATTATTACCTGCTGCTTTAGTTGTTCTGACTGCTAACATCCTGTTATTCCTCATTTTAAAGCCGATATCCCGTGGGGTCAGGGGTCGGGTCCTTGTCACCTTTTTCATACCTGATGAGTTTGCATCCCTGACTACAGTTGCTTTAGCGTGTAGAAGCTAGTAAGCCTACTATTTGATTTGTTTTAGATAGGCACTACATGTTTCATATGCAGACCTTATTTTCCTGTTCCATGTTCAAATAAACCATTTTCAGTGGTAATTTTTTTTTGGTCATGGAAAATGAGGTAAAGGTCATTGAGAAGTCATGGAAAAGTCATTGAAAATCATTGGTGAAAAAGTGTATGAACCCTGTTATTACAATATGGTTGGTTGAGCTGGAGTTCATTGTTGAGCTTACACGTTAACGTCACAGTCATATCTGAAGAAAGAACCCAAACCGTGTTATTTTTATTAATTGTATTACCAAATTGGTATCAAATAAATAGTAAGCATTGGTAATACCAATGCTGATAAAGTAAACTATTTTATTTGTGTATTTGTGTCTGGGAGAAGGTACTGTACCCAGTTCCTATGTTTGGCAGTTATAGACTGGGCTTTCTTGTACAAGAGAATAACAAATACAAATCAATATGAACCATTACTGTATAATTATCCTTAAATTATTTTATACAATGCACCTAATAAACAATTATGGCATTTTGAAACAGGATGTGCAACAATTGTTACTGTAATTTGTGTGCATTTTGTTGTTAACTAAGATGATGTTATGATTTATTTTTTGTTATTATGCTCGTGGACGCTTTGGACATACCTGGAGAAGGAAGAAATGGCTCTTCGGAATGATGGGAGTTAAAGACAAAAGGCGGAGACTAGTGTTGAAACTAGTGGCGAAACGATCAAGATGCCACCTTGTCCCTCTGATTAGATGGCATGTTAAGTCAGGAAGTAGCATTATTAGTGATGAATGGAGGGCATACAGGAGAGTGCTGAGTAACATGGGGTACAACCACTGCACCATAAACCACAGAAGGTGGTGAACCCCCAGACGGCAGTCATATCCAACATAATGAAAGAGCTAGGTCGACCGTCAAAGGACATGTCCGTAGACTGAGAGGAAACCGTACAGAGAGTTTGTTGGAGGAACACCTCAAGGTTATCGAATGGTCATCTTGGCTTGGCTCTGCTCACCCTGATGGACTGCTTGGACGCTTGTTCAAAGATATTCACAACGCCTTTCCAGTCTGAGTACCATTATGTCTTACCAAGTCTTTCATTTATGTCTGAGAAAAGCTTTTATGTTTAAATATGTGTATCAGTCATTCTAAAGAGTCATTACTTTGAGTCCTGATTTTCTTCATGTGTGAATACAATGTTTTGCTTGGTTCTGTTGCATCTGACTTTCCATTTCATGTGAAAAATGTGTATTAAGTCAGCGTGAATGTTATAACTCATTCATAAATGGACATGTGTATGAAACTTAAAAACAACGCACCCTTTCAGTAGTTATAAATGTTAGTGACTCATCAATAGATGGTGATGTGTTTCACACTTTACAATAAGGCTCCCTTTTACCAATTATAAATGGTTATATTACTCATTAATAAATGGGAATGTGTTTTACACTTTACAATAAGGCTCCCTTTTGGCAGTTATAAATGTTAGTAACTCATTCATAAATGGTCATAAGAGATGCCAAGAAACATCAAGATGGAAGGGGGGAGAATCAACTCAGTGAACAACAGACATCAAGGATGCTGGCTGATGAAGAAGACGAAGTAAGCTAAGTAGCCAATATAAGGCTTAGCAGTACAGATAAATGTGGGCTCACTATTTGGCAAGCAACCGGTCACAGTTGCCCTGTTTATCTCATGTCTTATAAACGCTTATTAATGATTTATAAAGTGTTCACAACCTAATTAATTAATTAATTACAAACTATTCGTAAACCCTTTATATAAGCGTAGTCTTATTGTAAAGTGGTACCAAATAGGCTAATCTGAAATGACTACTTTTTTTTATTTTTTTTAAATATTGTTATTTTACCTGCTATAGTGCTTATTCATTTATAGACAGGAATAAACCGATTTTTTTTATTTTATTCAGCAGTACAATACAATTATGCTCATTCCTGTCTTTCCAATCTGTCTTTGTTTTCAGAACTGTAAATCCAGAGCTGAAGTCTTACGCCCTTGGAGTTCTGTTCCTACTCCTGAGACTGATAGGTAATGCATTTATTATATTCTTCTGTTTTTCATGTCTGCTCATTTAGGCTAACTTATATTCTTAGTATGTTACTATATGTATAATTAGATTCCAGTTGTGGCTGCAAAGGATTGTTTCTGACTTGTGTGATCTTAACACTAGAACCGCCAACGGGTCAATTTTACCTGCAGCTGTTTTTTTATTGTATGTAACTTTTTTTCAATAAAATATTCAAGTGACTTTTCCTGAAAGTGTGTTATGTAGCACCCTCTGTTGTTAAAAATGGTCAATATGAAGTCAGATTGTAAAAATCGCCAAAATAATTGCCATTTATACCTATATCAGCCAGCGGGTAATATTTACCTCAGAAAATGCAGCGTAAACATGACCAGTTGCTATAGCAACGCCTTTTGTCTACTGCTGTTCCTTAGAGAGAGAGAGAGGGAGAGAGAGAGAGAGAGAGGAGAGAGAGAGAGAGAGAAGAGAGAGAGAGAGAGAGAGAGAGCGAGAGAGAGAGAGAGCGAGAGAGAGAGAGGAGAGAGAGAGAGAGAACGCGATGAGAGAGAGAGATAAGAGAGAGAAGAGAAGAGATGAGAGAGAAGAGAGAGATTTGTACCTAAACAAAACACAAGTCTAACACCAAGCGTTTAAATCAGCACTGGTTGCGATATTTTATACTTCATGCTATCTGCACAAACTATATCATATGAAAAGCTGAGAGTCCACCGATTCTATTGGTATAAGTTTCATCCCAGTGCGATCAAAACTCACTGTTCTGTATGATAAATAAAAGAACATTGTACCTTGAAAATCAAAAGCGGGTACATTTGACCCGTTGGTGGTTTTAGGTAGGCTATACAGCGACCTCTGGCGGTTCTAGTGTCAACATACAAATGTACGTATAAATCCAGAACATTGTCAAATATAATAGTCAGAATTCAATATAAATAAAATACAGATTCAATAATTTCATCTTTTTGTCTAACACAATATCTTGGTCACTTTAATATGACGTCTTGAATGAAAGCTAACATGCCGATGTATTCTCAGTTTCTACTATGCAATCAAATATAATCCCCCACTAAATCCTACGACACAAAAACGCTTCTACACTTACCTTGAAGCGTTGAAACCTTAAAGTAATGTTATGCACCTTTCTCTGGTTACCTTGTGCCATTTGGGTTTTGATGGCTGATTATTTGGCATTTACTCTCCTTTAAATGCTAGAAGGTCTCTTAGAGGTACCTTAGGCTGTTTCCATGACCAAAAAAGTCCTTCGACTGTTTCCATGAGCAGTACAGTGAACATCATTGTAGATGTAACAACAAATCTGCTTCAAACTGGGTTTGTGTTTGTTGGCGTTTAGCCTTTCAAATTCCTTTTCACTGATTTCATTCAAAAGAGTTTGCCCTGATAGAATGATTAAAAAAGACTCAACCATTCAAAATCTGGGATTTCCTTTAAACAAGCCCTATTTTGCTTTTGGGGGTTTTCCCTTTCCTGTAGTGTGTTATAGGTTTTTATGCATGTAAATGGTCTACAGAGGGAGTTTTTTTTCCAGGCACAGGCAGGATAAGACATATCTTTATATTTCTTACCATGCTTTTTGTACATTAAAGCATGTAACTGTAGAGGCACATAATACACATTTGAACCTGGAAAGAGCATAGAAGGGCCCCTTTAAAACGAACCTCATCTGTCTGGATATAAGACACATGTAAATGCTATGCTTGTTGAACTCCTCACCTGCTCTCTGTGCACCATTCTCTCCTGCCGCAGGCTTCATCCCCCCCCCCTCTGATCTTCGGCATGGGCATCGACTCCACCTGTCTGTTCTGGAGCTCTGTCTGCGGGGAGAAGGGAGCCTGCATGCTGTACGACAACGTGGCCTACAGGCACCTGTATGTCAGCATCGCCATCGCCCTCAAGTCCTCTGCCTTCATCCTGTACGCCACCACGTGGCAGTGTTTGAGAAAGAACTACAGGAAATACATCAAGAACAGCGAGGGCTACCTCACGCCCACCGAACTCTTCGCCTCCAATGTGACTCTGGACAATTTGGGCAAGCAGATCACCCAGAACCCAGCCAACAGGACAAAGTTAATTTACAACCTGGAGGACCAAGATATGAGTGACAACATGGAGTCAGTTTTATAGTGGAGGTCTGCACCGGGACTGGAGCTGAGGTGGTTAATGTGAAACTGATCTGTTGTTTCTTTGGTGTCGTATCAGTGTAGAAGAATGTTCTCAGTAAGGGTCTTCTCACCTAAAACATCAGACATATTGAAAAAAATTAAGGGGTGTTCCCAAAATGCTCTATATCCTCATTGCACTTTTTTGCTAAAATACAGATATCTGGTCCTTTTTTGTCATAAACTGACTCTTAATTTGGCAGTAGAATACAGATTGACTTTGGGAAAGGAATGACTCAGCAGTTAATTCATCACACCACTAATCAGCCAGCACGCCCCTCAGACATCTTCTTTAGTTCAACCTCATTAACAGCTCAGTTAAAATTGCAGTCATTAGGTTCAGATTTATAAGGAGATAAGAGCTTTTTGAGAAGCAGCAATCTGATATGTGTTATTTTCATAAGCTTTATTAGACAGTTTATTTTCCTTTAAGAAGGAAGTACCTCTCAGGTCTGATGACAGATAGAAATGATTGTAGTTTAGCTTCGGCGTTTATCATTAGCTGATCATATTTCAGCTCGTGTTTGCAGCACTTTTTCAGACATACAGATCTCACTCAGCTGTTTAACTTCACAAATAATGAAAGAGAGATATGCATTGATTACAGAGGCCAATGCACAACACATTAAGCAAGAAGCAACAAGAAGTATAAGTAGGAAGGAATAATTAAGAATAATGGGGAAATAATAAAGCAATATATAAAAGTAAATAATGTATATTATGGAACCTTCTTTATTAAAAACAAACCAAATTAATGGAAGATTAATGACAGTTTCATAAATAATGTATTGTTATATCTTATACAACAACAATATTTATAGATTTCAGAAACTGATTTTTATTTGGCAAGAGCATAGGCCATGGTGCCTCAAAGGGTGGATATCTCATTTTGGAACAAAACTCTTCACTTTGAGTTGCACATATTGCTCAGATTTAAAAAATAATGATAAAGATTGTTCGATACATTTCACTGTAATTGGCCTGCATTGTTCTAGAGGGTATTTTAGGATCTGTGGAAGGTAGAAGAGTGTTGACTTGGTATGTATTAATTATCCCTTTACTGTGTCATAGTGTGGAGTTTTACTATGAATGCTGGACAAGACTGTTTTTATTTTAATTTTACTTCACAGCATTTATTTATAGTCAGTCTTTTCTCTTTAAAATGTATACAAATTAGGTCCAACTTCTAAAAGTAAATATATTTAACAAAGAAATTCTAGGTGTTTAGCTTACGATATTAAAAGCAATGGACTATGAGAGAGGAAACAGGGGTTTGGTTGTCAAACAATGAATGTCGATTCAGTAACTGAACCTGTGACATTCAGTTTCACCACTCTCACTGATTAGACCCGTAGAACCGTTATAACTCCAGCCAGGAACACTCACAAAATTAGACAGAAATACAGTTTCACTTGGTCGTGGTATTCTACTCCTGGGGACGCCCCCCCCGCAGCAGTAATGCATGGAATACACAGCACCAGGATAAATAACAAGCAGGGACCATTGCATATAAGACTCTCCAGGGTACTTGGATGCAGTGGGGTCAGAGCAGGTGGAGGCTGTGGGGGAGGGGGTCTTCAGTAATAGAATCAGTTACAGCAGCAAAGCTCACACGTGCGTACACACTGAGAGTGTGAAGGCATTTAAGGGGAACGCCAAGTCCGGGCACTGAGACGTGATGATTGTGATGGGCTAGCTGTCAGCAGACACAGCACAGCATGACGCACAGTGTCCAGACATAATTAGTTAATTTAAAGCATGCTGGTAATGCATGCAATGATACAAATACATATTCAGTATGTCACTAAGCTGCACAGACTCTGTGGTTTGGCGGCCATGGTTACGGTTCAATTGAAATGTAACTACAATGGCCTCCAAATTCTATTTTAGACCATGGAAAAGCTTTATAATGCATACTGCATTATGATGTTGAACCTCAGCTGACTCATAATCACTCACACTGCAGTGATTGTCTAAACAGAATTTTTTCTTTTTTTGCCGAATTCCTTGGGATTCTGATTTCTGACATATCCAGTTTATATAGAAAATATATTGGTTTTCTTGGCTTACTTTGTAAGTATCTAATATGTTTTGCATCAAAAATATGGACCTTTGTCCAGCCACTCAACATCGCTATAGATTTACTCCCTATGATGTTAAAGGTGTGGTTTTACATTTTGGGAAATATGGTGAGTCCCTTGCCCAGTATTAGACAAGAAGATAATACCAATCTCATGTTTGTACGGTAAAAATAAAGCTAGAGCCAGTGGCTGATTAGCTTAGCATAACGAATGTAAATAGAGGCAAATTGCTAGCCTGCCTTGTCCATGAGTTAAAGTCATGCACAAAACCCATCGTACATTTTTTTTCTTTTTCAGGTTGAACAAATTAGACATAAGGTCTTAATAGACTAGCTTTGAATCTACTATAGGTGTATTTCATTACCAACGCAAGCTCTTTCCTCCGACAGTTTTTCCCATCTGTGTGCTAAGCTAAGCTAACCACCTACTGGCAGTAGCTTCATATTTACCGGTCAGGAACGAGAGAGGATCTTTTTATCTAATGCTCGCAAAAAACGTATTTTCCTAAAATGTCAGACTATTCTTTTGAGTGAAAGTTCCATGATTCAGTCTCATTTTATGCTAACGCTCAAGTTTTATGAGCACTTTTTTTGTGGAATTTATCTTCGATCCAAACTACTCGTGTGCTCTTAGTTTAGCACTTCAATGAACTAATAGTATACGATTTAAACTGTACTTTGACGATGCTTCAGCATCATAAATATTAAATCATATATAAAATGGGGGGGAAAAGACAGTTGTTAGAAAATGTTGGAGATCAACAGTGGACCTACACAGAGCCATGCCAGACCAGACTACTGTCTGCCTGTTGTGATGTGAACAAAGAGAGTAGCCTATACATACAGATTTTTAGCATAGTAGTAAAACTTAAATACTTAAAATGGAATGATTTTTCGGGCACTGATTATTTTTTCCAGGCAAAGATTTGGACTGATGGGAAGATTGGCTCCTAGCAGGACATACAGGACAGCAGGACATTTTGCTAGGATGTACAAACAATTGCAAAGAGAGTTTCTAAGGCTGCTAAGTAACATTACCAGCTGGCCACCAGCTCCTCCTCCGTAACCCCCAACAGGTGGCGCTGTCTTTGATATCTGTAACGTCCAGTGTGTCATAGTGCTGACTCCTCTGTACATAATAGTGCCATACAAGTGCCAAAGTGACACCATAGAAGTGTTTCTGTAATGTCCTGCAGAGAACTTTGTCTTTACCACGCTGGAGCTCAGAGCAGATCCTCCAGCTGTATGTAGCCTTTCTGTGATATCCCTCCACTTACTTTCACCATATCATACAAAAAGTGTCCCAAAAACATATTGCCTATAAAGTATTGTATATGGGTCTAGAAAACCATATTATTTAGGGTGTAATAACTGTTAATATGTAGAACTTTTCTACTAGTGAAGGTATTGTCTACTTTAGATTAATCTCTCTTTCCATCAGTGGCAAAGCTGATAACTGTTTGTTGCTTTGGTCCAACTAAAAACAAAACTTTGCTTGAAACAAGTGGCACCAATGTTGAGCCTCCGCCTGACATTGTAAAGTAGATGAGGTTGACTGTAGAGAAATCAGCCGATCTTCACTGATAGCAGTGCCTGGATATTGAGCTCTACTCTGAGACTTCCTGATGTTGTGCCATATCAACCTGTGCAGTGTAATATTCAACACTTGCAAAGAAAAAGCCAACATATTCTAGGTCTGTCTAACGCGCTGGCCAGTGTGACGGCGCTCGCTTGACCTTGTATTCACCTGCGGCGACAGGACTGTTTTGCCTTGTGATGTGAAAATAACTTTGGAGCATAAATATAAAATGTTTTTTTACATCCTATTTTTCTTATTTTTCTCTTTTGATGACCTTGCCTGGTGGTAACAGCAGGTTGACTTTTATAGCGGAATCTTTAGTGACAGAAGTATGGGCATATGAAGAGTTTACTGCCAAAATACGACATTTCTGGGCAAAACAAGTCCTGAGCTTTATCATTCAAGAGACATTTTAACATCAATGGAGAATTAATCTGTAAATAGTCCCATGATTTGTTTTTGTTGCGATCATTTATTTATTACGAATGGTCCATTTTTTTTTTAAATGACGGATGTTATTTTGGCAGCAAACTCTTCGTATGAAGACAGATAAACCTTTGGTTTGAGCCTTTAGGCAGCATGTTGCCTTTGATTAAAGTGAAACCACGTGCTAACCATGTTAGTGACGGTTTTCGAGTGATGTGTTTGCTTATGTTGTGGGTGATATTCAATGTGTGAATTTCATGGCTCTTTGAAAAGAAAAGGGCATTGAAATAAGAAAACATCACCTATATTTTCCAAGCATCACTAAAGATTTTTAGATATGCCGTTTTATGTTCTGTATATTTCTTGAAAAATATTACATGATTGTATGTTTATTGTAAATACATTAAATATACTATTTTTGTTTTTAAAATGACATTTTCTTTTGCCTCACAACTATGATGATTTCCTGCTGAAACTCATTGTCACTGAGAGGTGGTTTTCACACCATTGAAATATCAGTTTTCATATTTAGTATGCATGAATTCCATCAATTATTCACCCACGGGACACCTACACTGTCAAACCAGCCAGAAATATTTTTCACTAGATAATGTTAACACGTCAAGATGATAAGTTGTGTTAAACATTTCTGCAGCCATAGAGTCATTGTGACTCTGAGAATCTTTTCAGGCACCGACAATTACTATGCTTATTTTAAAGTGGCAATAGACAGAAGATAATGTTAATTACAGAATGTATGGGTGTAGAGTATTGACACCATGGGCGTTTAGATTGGGGGGATTCATATTTCTTCCAAATTTCTTGAGTTTATCCAAGAGCTGTTGAGACATTGAGAAAAAGTGTGAGCCTCATGGCCATGCTAGAGAAAAAGTCAAGGTATTTCAAAAGTCATTGGGATTCATCAACTGGGGACAATGGTTGTCTGTATAACGTTTGATGGCTCTCCATTTAATATCTTTTGAGATATTATAATTTTGAACAAAGTGGTGGACCAACCAACTTTGCCATCCCTAGAGCCATTCCATTGTGGCTAAAACCATGCAAGGCACAGAAGCATTAGCAATGTTCAGTCAAATGATTATGAATATGCCTCCCTGTATAAGGTGCATTCACTATTGGGGTTTGGGACCCTACAGGGTTGTGTGAGTGGAACAATCTTTTCAAATTTGCTTTAATTTGACAAACATCCTTGTTACTTTCTCATGACACGAAAAAGTAGTTCAACCAAACAATCTATTAAGGAAACTAAAATGCAAATGTACATCTGCATACCGTGACATGGGGGTCATTCATTGTGCAATAATGATTTGGAGAAAATAAGAAATTCCATTTTTCAACCATTTTTCGATGTAATGTGATTCGGTTTCCTGTATACCATGCCTGTGATAAAGGGCTGTTTTCACTGGGCGAATGCTTGGTCAATTAGGGCGAAACGTTATTTCTAAACGCACTGACAGAAGAAGATAAATCCTGACATCAGTTCAATTGGAATGTGCTTGTGCTTTGCCATGATCAAATTCCCT